CGGCCCGGGAACACCCCGGGGCCCCCCCATTTCGGGGTTCCAGGCACCCCCCGGGGTTTCTCCGGGCAAAGAGCGATGTCCTAAGGATGGAGACCCCCGAGGGGGCGGTCGTGGCGCGGCGGGAGGAGACCGGGAGGGGGGAAAAACCAGGCTGGGAGGAGGAGGAGGAGACCGGGATGGGGAGGGAGGGGTGTGTAAAGGGGGGGGCCCGGCTTGTCGGTGCCCCGCCCGGGATGGGAGGAGGAAAACCTCCCGCCGTCCCTTTAACAGCCAGCGGCGCTGCTCGGAGTTCAGGCCGGGGTCAGGGGGAGTTCGCAGCCCGGGTTTCACCTCCGAGCTGGCGGCGTCGGGAACCCCGAGGAACCGCTGCTGCTTCTTCCACAACCACCTCTTCCTCCTCCTCCCGTTCCGTAGGACCGGCCGGGAGCGCGGGGTATGGAGGAAGAGAAGCAGCAGAGGAAGAGGAGGGTGGAGGGGAGCAGCAACCGGCGGCGGCCCCCCAGGGGCTGAGCCATGAGAGTTCACCGAGACCTCAGCTGGTTGGCGGAGGCCACCGGGCGCCCAGGTAAAAAGAGGAGGGGGACACCCCAAAAAGTGGGGAAAATAAGCCCAAGAAGCAGCTCCGCTGGCGCTTGGCTTTACGCACCTGGGCGGGGGGCACCGGCACCGGAACGGAGGCGGGGAGGGGAGGTCCCGCTCCCCCTCCCCCGGAGCGTCCTCCCGCTCACCTCGAGGGGGGGAGAGGAAACGGGGGCGGGGGGCGCCCGGGGGGTCCGGTCGGCCGCCTCCCGGGACCGGGGCGCATAAGAGGCGGGAAGGCGCGGTGGGGAGCGGGGCAGCGGCGGGGCGCAGGGAACGGCGGGCGGGTGGCGGGCACCGGGTCGGTGTGTTCCCCCTCGCGTTTCCCCGGCAGGTGGGCGCGGGGTCGCGGGGTCCCGGGGCTGACGGGGCCGGGGCGCGGCGCTGGCGGCGGCGGCGGCGGGTGATGTCACTTTCTCCAAAAACCCTCCGGGGGTTTTCGCCCCCCTCCCGCCCCCCCGACCCGCCGAGAAACGAGCCCCCATATAAGCGGTGGCACCGACCGGGCGGCCGCGCAGAGCGGCCAGGACAGAGCGGCGTGTGGGGCTGAGCCCCGACCCCCCCCACACCCACCCACCCCGCGCGGCGGGTGAACCCCCCGACGTGCACGTCGATCCCCCCCACGCGTGGTGGTGGGCACGTGGGGCCGGTTGCGACGCTGACGGGGCGGCCGGTGTGTTACAGGGCGGCGGGCAAGGAGCGGGATGCTGGACGCCATGGAAGTGCCGAGCCACTCGCGGCAGCTGCTGCTGCAGCTGAACACGCAGCGCACCAAGGGCTTCCTGTGCGACGTGATCATCGTGGTGCAGAACGCGCTCTTCCGCGCGCACAAGAACATCCTGGCAGCCAGCAGCGCCTACCTCAAGTCGCTGGTGGTCCACGACAACCTGCTCAACCTGGACCATGAGATGGTGAGCCCCGGCATCTTCCGCCTCATCCTCGACTTCATCTACACCGGCCGCCTGGCCGAGTGTGAGCCGGGCAGCGAGCAGAGCCTGGGTGCCGTGCTGGCCGCCGCCAGCTACCTCCAGATCCCCGGCTTGGTGGCCCTGTGCAAGAAGAAGCTGAAGCGCAGCGGCAAGTACTGCCACCTGCGTGGGGGCTACGCGCCCTACAAACTGGGGCGTGGGCTGCGCGCCGCCACGCCGGTCATCCAGGCTTGCTACTCGGGGACGCCGCGGCCCGTGGACCTGCCGCCCGTGGAGCCGACGGCACCGCTCAACACGCAGTGTGGGGAGCTGTACGCCTCGGCCGCCCAGGGCACCCCGCTGCACCCCCACGGGCTGTGCCCACCCGAGCGCCACTGCTCGCCACCCTGCGGCCTCGACCTCTCCAAGAAAAGCCCCACCGGCCCCTCTGCCCAGCTCCTGCCCACTGACCGCCTGCTGCCCGGCGAGCCCCGCGAGCCCTCGCTGCCCCCACGGCACGACAGCCCCCCCGTCAGCGCCGGCCTCCTGGCCAGCCACGCCGCTGCCTACAAGGACTCCCCACCGAGCGGTGAGCCAGGGGGGCACCCCCACGCCCCCGACCCCTTCCGCAGCACGCCGCCCTGTGCAGAGCCCCCGCTGCCCCGTGCTGACGGGCGTGAGCTGATGTACCGCTGGATGAAGCATGAACCCCTGGGCCCCTACCTGGATGAGGGGGAGGCGGAAAAGGAACTGGAGCGGGAGGAAAAGGCCGAGTCACCACCTGCAGCACCACAGCCCCGTTACCCCAGTGTGGAGAGCAACGACCTGGAGCCTGATAACAGCACAAGCGAGGAGACGGGCAGCAGCGAGGGCCCCTCACCTGGTGACGCGCTGGACCGCTACTGCAACCACCTGGGCTACGAGCCGGAGAGCCTGGGCGACAATCTGTACGTCTGCATCCCCTGCGGCAAGGGCTTCCCCAGCTCCGAGCAGCTCAATGCCCACGTGGAGGCCCACAATGAAGAGGAGCTCTATCACAAGGCAGCGGCTGAGCAGGCCGTGCCGTTCCTGGACAAAGGTGGCCCAGGGCTGGGTGACATCCTGCGGCCCTACCGCTGCTCCTCCTGCGACAAGTCCTACAAGGACCCGGCCACGCTGCGGCAGCACGAGAAGACGCACTGGCTGACGCGCCCCTACCCCTGCACCATCTGTGGCAAGAAGTTCACACAACGCGGCACCATGACCCGCCACATGCGCAGCCACCTCGGCCTCAAGCCCTTTGCCTGCGACGCCTGCGGGATGCGCTTCACCCGCCAGTACCGCCTGACCGAGCACATGCGCATCCACTCGGGCGAGAAGCCCTACGAGTGCCAGGTGTGCGGCGGGAAGTTCGCCCAGCAGCGCAACCTCATCAGCCACATGAAGATGCACGCGGCCGGCCCCGACGGCAAAGCCAAGCTGGACTTCCCTGACAGCGTCTACGCCATGGCCCGCCTCACTGCTGACCAGCTGGGGCTCAAGCAGGAGAAGGCGGCTGAGCTGCTCTCCCACACCTCACACTTCCTCAGCGACCCCAAGGCCATGGAGAGCCTCTACCCCCTGGCCAAGTTCACGGCCGAGCACCTGGGGCTGAGCCAGGACAAGGCGGCCGAGGTGCTGGCGCAGGCTCCGCACCTGCACGCCGAGGCTGCCCGGACCATAGAGCGATACTCGCCCCCCTAGCGCCGGCCCGGCCGGGGGGCTGGGGGGGCCGCTGGGCTCCCCTCGCTGCCCCGCGTGGAGCTGGGGAGGGCGAGAGGCCGTGGGCACTCGTCCCCTAGCCCTGCCGACGGCCCCGGAGAACTCGCTCGTAACAAAGGTCCCGTGACAGCTGCTCTGGGATGGATGGACGGCGTGTCCTGCGACCAGCGCCCCGGCTTGCCTGGGAGAAGCCGATAATTCAGGGACTGACCTCGCGGCACGTCCGCCCCTCGCCGAGGGGGGCTGCCGGGCCCCCGGCACCGCGCGGGAGCGACGCACAAGCTGTGAGGCCGGGCTGCGCCCCGAGGCTTTGGAGGACATGAGCCCGCTCCTTACCTCAGGGCTGCCCCCGGGCGAGGGGACACCCGCGGCAGCCGCCGCGTCACCCCGGCTCCACGGTGGGACCCGCCGGCACTCGGCTCTGCCGTGACGGGACCCGGACTGTAAGTAGTTCATCCGTCGCGGCCGGAGCGACGCCTCCGTCCTGAGCGGGAGCGGCCAGCGCTGGGCTGGGGGGTGTGTGCCGGACCACCCCCCCGGGGCCTCGCCGGGGGCTCGGGGACAGACTGACGGAGGGGGACGGTGGGGTTTGAGCAGCAGGCGGGGGGTGGCGGTCGGATCCATGCTGGGGAGGCTGAGGAATCGCGATGCTCCTCGCCCCGGGGCAAGCACTGACCTTCCATCCCGAGCCCAGGGGCTCGGCCGGCGGCCCTCCGTGTTCTCGGGAGGTGGGGCAGGGCCTGCCCCAGACTGAGCCCCTGGGCCCTGCCCCGGCTGGCGCCACACCATCAGGGATACCCAGGGGGGCCCCGGCGGCTTCGCCTTCGGGCGGCCACTCGCCTTGATTATTTTTTTTATTTTTTTATTTTTGCCAAAGACGCCCGTCCCCAGCGCGGCCGGGCCGGGCCGGGGGGTCCATGACAAAGACAAAGCGGTCTCTGGTTTGTCAGCTACGGGAGGTGGGCAGGGGCTGCGGGAGGGGGCCGGGGGGCAGAGCCCAGGGGGAATGCGTGACCTTGGGCCAAGTCCTCTCCAGGCACCCCGCGCCACCACCGCACCCCCTCTCCCACCTTCTGCTCGGTGTGGGCAAAGTCCCCCCAGCCTGGACCCCCCCGGCCCGTGCCCTGACCCCTCCGTTGGGGCTAATGTGAAGCTTCACCCTCCCCTCCCGAGCCCCCTCCTCTCCTTTGCACACGAGGCCCCGGGCGGCCGCCAGCACCGACTGTCCCCGGCCTCGCAGCCACTGTGCCTTAGCCTGAGCTGGCCACTCCTGCCCAGTTGTCCCCTGAGCCTGTTCTGGTCCCCCAGGGCTGGCGGTGTCCCCCGGAGCTGCCGAGGGATGACTGGTGGTAGTGGCAGCACCCAAAGCACAGCTGGCAGTGCCCAGCAGGGCCCCGGCCCCCCTGTATCACGTCCATTTGTACACGGGCTCCTCGCCCTTTTTTTTTCTATAGTCGAAATGGAATGAGCAATAAAGTGACATTAACATGCGTGGCCTCACGTCCTTCTCTGGGGGGAGGCCTGGCTGGTGCAGGGCTGGTGCTGAGCAGGTCTGAGAGGTGACCCCGAGGGGTCTGTGGGTGACCTGAGGGGCTTTGTTGTGCATCTGGTTTGCTCAGAGCCCCTCAGCTGGGGGGCAGCAGCAGCTGCAGGTGGGACAGAGCTGTTGTCATCCTTGCAAGCAGGAATGTGTCCCACTGCCATCCCTCTCTGGTGGCCTCCACCCCAACTTCAGCAGCAACTTGCCCGCCAACAGCAAATGACACACCAGGCTGCACAGACACGTCTTTATTAATAGAAATTATTAAAACCAACTTAACAAAATAGCCCGAAAATGGATGCTGCCCCAAGACATGGGCTCCGAGGAGCCTGGCAGGGGTGGCCCCAGGCATGGGCTCCGCTTGCTGTTGTGCCAGCTTGGTCTGGTGGCACCGAGACTGTCCCACAGCTGAACCCATGACACAGTGAAAGGAATCAGTGTCTGGCAGAGCCACAGGACCTTCCAAGCTGGTGGTGCCGCGGGAAGGGCCTTGGAAAGCAGTGCTGGGGCAGCACCATTAGAAAACAAACACTGAAACACAACCAGCGCAGAGGAGAAGGCAAAGTCTCTGCCATGCTGACAGCTGCGGGCATGGAACTGGGACATGGGTGCTGTGTGTACCATGGCTCTGGGTGGGCCCACCATGGCTTCGTGTGCCCTACAGCAGCCGTGGGCACCCCAAAGTCCCTGTGGGTCAGGCTCTGCCCTGCAGCACAGACCCTCTGCCTGGTGCCCCGAGGCTGGGGCACTCCTCTGGCACAGGTTAGCCAGCACAACTCCATCACGCTGCCAAGGCTCCAACCCCAGTGCTGGCCCTCGCTGTGAGGCTGGGCAGCTGGCACAGGGGTAATTGGGCTTCCTGACGCAGACACCGGGCTTGAGCCACCCACGCGGGAAAGGAAAAACGCTGGGCTCCGTCCTGCTGCTTCCTCTGCCACCTTTGACGCTTCCCTCCCACGGCCGCGGCGCCCCAGCAGGGACTGGGGATGGCCTTGGGGTCGTTCCCACCCTCGACTCATGGGACTGGGACTTGACAGAGCTCCAGGGGCTCCAGTTCAGGGGTTAATGCTCCCTCTTAGCTTCTGTATCTGGTGTGTCACTGGGGATGGGACACTTGGTGATGGGACAACATGGGGTGTGGTGGGCTTAGCAGCACACGAACCCCAGATCCCAGTGCGGAATGACTCAGGGACAAGGCAATGGCTCCATCCATGGGGCATCTTGGAAGGGGATCCTCTCAGCTGGGCAAGTAATGAGGGGCTGAGTGCTGCCCCGGCTCTCTCTAGCTCTGCCCAGCCCCGCAGCCATGGGCAGAAGCTGGATCCCACATGGAAGGGGAGCCTGTGGCAATGTGAGGAGACACAGAACCTGTGGGACAGCTGGCCCTGGGGCCCTTGCAGAACTTTGTTAGCTTCACATTGCGTCTTAGGTCAAAAGCGTGCCTAAAGGTATGAGGGTTGGGACTAAGGGGTTTTGGGGAGAAGGGAAGGGGCAGGTAACGGCTGGGGTGGGCAGGAGATCAGAACAAAGCAGCTGTGGGAGACTGGGGGTGTTCAAAGCCTCTCCCAGCAAAGCAGGCAGGGCACACACCTGAAAACTAACCTACACTGAAGAAATGAAACTCAACAAGCAAATCCTGCACGAGGGAGAGGACAAGCCCCTCTGCAAGCAGCACCCCTGCGTGGGGTGGCACAAGTGGGGAAGGGGCTGGAGGCCTGGGGCTGTCTGGGCCACGCAGGACAAACAGGCTGGGGCAGGAGGGAACCTGCCCTTGAAGTCCACGGCCTCTCCAAGGGGCACAGGCTAGACTAAGCAATCCCAAAGTCTGTGCCGGTGTGTCCCCAATCTCTGCCCTACGCAGCCTACTAACCCAAAGAGCCACCAATGCGTGACTCGAACTCTCTGCACCCAAGCAAACCAAGCAAAAGGCTGGCGATCCAGCACGGGGCTCACCCAAAGCTTCCCTCGCCAGTGGGGCTCGCCGGCTCCGCGCTGGCACTGCCCAAAGGCTGGCAGGACCCTCAGCGGCCCAGCCTCCACGTGAACCATCCACAGCAATGACCTTCCCAGCTGGTCTGCCCTCGAGGGGCCCTTCGCAGCACGGCCATTCTGGGGTGGGTTGAAGACGTGGCGTTTATTGTTCGTGGTGGGCTGGCGGCGGTGGCGGCGCGGCGAGGCCGCTGCTGAAGCCGGGCTCCCACCGTAACAGGCTGCGTGACTCGCTCAGGGGCCGTCGGCCCCACTCGGCCCCCTCAGCCCTCCTGGGCCCACTTGAGAAAGGTGGGGATGTCCCGCACCGGCACGTTGCGGGTCAGCGCTTTGACTCGCAGGTTCCGGTCGTCCGTCAGCAAAACCACTTCCCTGAGCAAACGGATGGGATCGTCTGCAACGAGGACAGAGAGAGAGAGAGTGAAGCGCAGACCTGCCTGCTCTGCTTCAGCCCTTGCACCCATCCCACGGTGTGTCCCCCCACCCTCCTTGCTAACAGCTCTCTGCTCCCTGCCAAGGCTTCCTGGCGTGGCTCAGAGACTGCCCTTCATCCCAAAGGCTGTCTGCTCCCCTCACCACGCTGCCCCAGGGGATGATTTGTGATCTCTGCCTGCTGCCCACTGCCCACGCGGGGTGGTGGACCGGCCACAGGCTGGGAAGAGGAGGTCTCTGCTTGACCCAGGCCAGGAAGACAGCCCGCGACCCTGGTTCCAGCAGGAAGCTGGTGCTATTATTCTGTTGATCTCATTATAAGATCTAAAGCCACCCCTTATTTTTTGTGGAGCTTTTTTGGAGCTGCCACTGACACTGAGGCGTTTCTGGATGGGGCTCAGACAGCCAGAGAGAGTTGATGCCTGAGAAATATCCTAAGGGATCTTGCCCCCATATGGATGAGCTGCCCCGCACGCAACGTGCCGGGTGGGGATGTGGGAGCCACGCTTACGTGTGTGCGAGGCAGGGGAAGCATATGGGGTATGTGTAAGCAGCTGGGTCCTGTGACCAGAGTACTGTTCCTATGAGCACAGGAAACACAGTGCCTCCGAGCCAGGACGGGAATGGAAAAAACAGAGTTTATGGGAGCCCAACATGGGCCCAGATTGGCTGTGCAGGGAGCGGCAGGACGAGGGGAAGGGGAGGGTGGCCAGGAACGCGGGCTACGGTCACAGTGTTGGGGCTGAGGATGGTGGGGTCAGCACCTGGCTGGCCCATGCCAGGAGGAAGGGGACTGGGGGATCAGTGGGAAGGCAGGCTGGGGACTGAGGGCTGCTGAAAGCGGGATTGGGAGGTTTTGTGCGGACACTTTAAGAAATGTGTAACAATAAACATCCTCTGCTCCGTGCTGGTGACGCGCCTCCTTGTTACAAACCAGAGGCTGTCAGCTTGTCAGGCCCCATTCCCCATAATCCACATGATTTCAAAATTCAGCATCATTTGCACATAAACATTTGGTGACGGTTTCTCTGTGAATCTGACAAGTTAAGCTGCTAAGAATTCGCACTGACAAATGCGGGTTGATTTCTTGGGCAGCTGCTGATGCGATTCCCATCCCCACCGCCCTGGCAACAGCCTGGGGGCTGTCTGGTCCTAGCACACGTGGCCGATGCCAACCAGGAATTAGGAGGGAAAAGAGCCCTGGACAGAAGGCATCGGGGGGGGGGGTGTGGGGGGGTGTGGGGAGGAGGCGCTTTCTGGCCCTTTGTCACCACAAAAATGGCTCTGTGGACATTTATGGTGGGTTTGTCACAGGCTGGGGCATCATCCCCAAAGTGCTGTGAGGTGCACATTTGGCAATGAGGTGGGAGGGCCACAGCCTTGGGCTGACCGGAGGCAGGAGGTGGCACCTTGGTGTTGAAAGAGGCAAAATGCAGGAGAGAACAGATCCAAGAGTCATGAAAGAGAAACTGGAAGAGTCTGTGGAATGCAACAGAGAAGGGACAAAGAAGATGTGAGGATATTCTACCTTTGTTGGAGGGCATGAAATCCTTGGCCTTGTCATTGCAATAGTGGAGGCAGCAGGACAGAATCAGGTCATCATTGTTTCCCTGGGAAAAAAAAGGAAAACGTTACCCTTGGCAGGGAAAACCCTGCACCCCCACCACCCTGACTGCTGCACCACCTCGAGACACCCCAACACAGCTCAGTAGAGCGCAGGGCCACTCTGACCTGAAACAAGAGCTCAGTCATCTGCAAACAGGGGGACAGAGGTACCTCCTGCCCAGACCTCCTGGACCCCAAGGTCCCTGATCTTCCCCAAGGAGGTGGTGGCAAATAACTCAGTGTCCAGGATGCCCCTTACCTGCTGGCCAGTGGTGTCTTCACTGCGGAAGGAGATGGACTCCAGCTCGTTGCCTCGGCTGGTCAGAGCCCTCAGGCAGTTGTCCCTGCTCTCAAATCGCTCCTCCAGGAACTCGATGGACTTCCTGGCTCTCTCCTGCACTTGGCGGGCATAGCCCGCAGCCCGGTGCTCCATCTCTGGGCCCTTGGCCAGGCCATCCAGCTCGTTTATCACTTCAAACAGGAAGAGGAGGTACAGTTACCATGGGACAAGGTGCTCCCATGACCTGCTGCTGGAGCATGCAAGTTGCCAAGGCCTCGCGGCCGGGGCACTGGGAGCTGGCTCAGGAAATCTGGGTTCAGCTGCCGCAGTGTCCCTGTGCTCCTGGACTTGGCTGTGGGTCTGGAAAAGCTTTGCTGCCTTCCACCTCTGTGGGTCACCTGGCTCGGCCCCGAGAGCGCAGGCACCTTGTCCCCGCAGTGTAACTGGTAAGGGCAACTGGTTCTGCTCCAACTGGTTCTGCTCTGTGAAACGTTGGGGAGCATTGCTGTGCCCCCCACCCCGCACTCCTGCATCATGATCAACGGCATGTCCGTGCCTGTGGGTGTCAGGAAACCCTGAACTCCTGCATCCTGCTCCTCCACCTCTGTGCACAGCGATGGCTGGTGGCACCCTGCCTCCTGCCTGCGTGGCACTGCCTGGCTCTGCACTGTCCCACATGGAAAACTTCTGCCCTGCTGCTGTAGGGCTGCATATGGGAACAGGAAGCAGGCAGTTCCCACCCTGGCACTATTTCCCACACAAATTCCAGTCCTGTTTTCCCACCTGAAGCCACCATTCCATGCTCCTGGCAGGGAACACGCTCCTTTCAACACCTCACCCATCTGGCTTTGTGCATCTGTCCTGACTCGAGATGAGCTTGGAATCCAGGTGGATTCCCAGCCTGTTCACCTTAACTGGAACCTCTTGTACTGCTGCCAAGCAGGCAGGAACTCCAGCTGCTCCAGCCCCCTAAGCCCAAGGGACCTCAGAGCTCCAGGAGGGACCGACCCTCGGGTGCTGAGGCTGCTGGAAGAGCAGCTTTGTTGTGGAGCGAGCATGTGTGTGCGAGCAACAATGCTCGTGCACACATCTGGATGCACCCTTGTGTGCCCAGCCTTGCCGCTGGTGGCGAGGCTGGGCACACAAACGTGCATCCAGATGTGCAAACAAGTGTCCCTGCCTGTGATTGTGCGCTGGGCTGCGTGTGCACGAAGCCGTGCGCGCGAGAGAGCTGGTGTGCACGTGTGCGCGGCGGAGCCTCTGCGCGCACAGTGTGTGTGTTTTAGCCATGGCTTCATTTCTGAAGATTGTTTCCGAGCTTGGAGCCAAGTCCTGAGTTCAAGTGGGAACTATGCATTCCTTGGGGGGTTCGGGGAGAGAGCTCGGGGTCTGAGGCCTCTCCCCAGTGCTGTGAATCACTGCCCGGGGAGCCTGCGTGATCGCTCTGTTCCATGGTGAGACTGGCACTCACTGTCTGGGTATTCCAATTAAATCTGCATGGAGTTGCTTTGCTCTTCCCTGGCTGGAGACTCTTCTTGCTACCGACCTGATGCTGCCATTTCCACACAATGCACGGCTGGGCCCGGGGTGGGGGGAGCCGTGCAAGAACGGAACATCAAACAGGAAAAGCTGGTATTCCCTCCCGAAATCCGCCTTCCTGCTTCCAAGCTAAACAGGCTTCAAAGGGGAGGCTTGTTTGTGCTTCTGCACCAGGCCTGGCTTCTCCATGGCGGGGTCAGGCTCAAGGAGCACAGAGCAGGTTAAAGAGCAAGAGAAACAAACCCAACGAGAAGCCGAGTGCTTAACCCCTTGCTGCATCCCCGGGAAGAGCAGGGAGGAATACCAGGGGAAGGGCACTGTGCCTATCTCCAGGCTGGTGATGGCACATGGCACCAAGGTCTCTGTCTCCAACAGCCATGGGCCCCTGGCTCACCCCAGGGGATGGCTTCCTCCTGCCCACACTGATGGCTTTCCTGAGGAATGAGGGGAAACGTGACCAACGCCCGGTGTGGAAAGGGACTCTGTGTCTTCGGGGTGCTCTGGGGAGGTGGCAGCAGTGGGAGATAAGTTACTCTGTCCCTCCTGTGTTAGGCCATGCAAGGAGGCAGCAGGACAGGAGGGTACTGAAGGTGCTCAATCCTGCCTCTGGTAGGGCAGGCCAGGCTCCTTTTGCAGGTTGAAGGCAGCAGCATCTTGGACAGGGACAGGACCAGAGTTTTCAGCTCTCCTGCTGCCCCTGGCTGGGGATTGATGGAGAAGCCTCATGGCAACCACAGGAGTGCACTGGGAGGCAGGGCCACGGCTCCAGGGCAGGTCACAGCTCTCTCAGGTGTTAATATGTTCCACAGCCCCAGGGCTGCCCAGGCTCTGCAGGTGCTGCCGATTGCCTTCCCTCTGCTTCCACACAAAGCCCTGGCACTGCAGTGCCAAGCCATGGAGCTCCCTGGCAGCTCCTGTGCTGAGCTGGGCAGGCATCCAGCCCTGCTCTTCTCATCCAGGGGTCCCATCCTCAGCCCCAGGAATCCCTTCTGATCCGGGCTGCTCACCCTGTGGGGAAGGGTGGCAGCTGGATGTCGGCTCTGGGGCAGGTAGAGATGTCTGCTGGACATCAGGAGTTGAGAAGGAAGCTTGGAGGGCAGCACCCCTGCATGCAGCGGGCCAGAAGGAGTGCACCTCACTGCCTGGGCGCTGGAGATGCCCATGGGACACAGCTGGCACTCAGCCTTCCGGGGCTGTGGATGGGATGGGGCAGCCTGTGGGCTCTGTGAGGCTCAGCCCCACTCCTGTCCCGGCCTTTCCTGCTGTCCTCGGGGATCCTCTGAGTGCCGGGCTGGCACCGGGACGTGCCAGGCGCCGGAGTGACATTGGCCGGAGGAACATTACCTCCAGCCCAGAGTGTGATCAAACAATCAGAGCAAAGGCATCTAACCAAATCCTCCCGCCACCCTGGGAGACCACCCAGCAGCACAGCCGTTATCTGCCAGGGTGAGTGTTTACCAATAACGGGAACCAGCTTGCTGTTTTACTGCGAGCTTTATAAGGATAAAAAGAAGGGCTGGGCTTGAGCAGCTCCGAGACGCTGGGACACAGGCCGGCCATTTGCTCAGGCTGCCTAAGCCTCAGCTCAGCTAGGATAAGCTATCTGTTGTGATTGTTTAACAATTCCCTCCTCCTCGCTCCCTTCAAAATTCCCTCCAAATCCCATTTAACACCCAACTGCTTCTCCCAGCCCCCTGGCACCCCAAAAAACACCAGGAGGAGAGGAGTTTGCTGAGTGCTGTGGGCAGAAGGCTGGCAGGAAGGGAGAAGGATGACTGGGGCTGAAGGAATGCCAACAACGACTGGGATGAGACAGGGCAGGATGAAGTCCAGTCCCACGGCATGAGCCGACCAGCTCCAGACCACACAGGCACTGTGGGCACATGAGGCATCGAGAGAGGGAGACAGAATGGAGGGACAGACCATGCCAGGAGAGAGGGGAAGCCCCCACCACAGCACTGGCCTACTCACCGATCAGGGGCACCACCAGGATGAACTTCCTGCAGTCCAGTAGTGTGATCAAGCTGCTGAGGTGGTCGATGAAACCATTGGTGTCTGGGACCAAAAAAACAGGTCTGATCTCCAGCTCCATCTGCCTCATCTGACTCTGGTCTTTCAGCACGGCCTGGAGGAGAAGGAAGGACACATGGTGAGGAAGGAGGATGTCAGCCCCACGACCCACGAACCCTGAGAGCAGAAGATAAGCCTGGCTGACACGCATGCATCCATGTGAAGGAGACTGGGAGGAGGCTGCATCCATCCCACCTGCACACCCCAAACACAGGGTTTTCTGTAGGCAGGCCCACAGTACACAGCAGGATGGCAAAAACCTTCAAGAGAGCACTTCTTCTAGGAGAACAGCCCTGCCGAGGCTCTGTGAAGAACTGGGACCAGCCTTGAAAATGGAGGGGTTTTGGGAACTGTCCCATTTTTGGGACTGGCAGTTGCCAGGACCATCTGTACCAGTGCCAAGAGACTGACCTTGACAGAGACCAGCAGGGAGAAAAGGGGACGGGAGGATGGGAGTTCTGGGGCTCCACAGAGAAAACAGCTCAAGGCGACAACAGCCAAAACAAACCAGTTTGGGACACATAAGTCCTGCCAACAGCATGCTAACACAGGGACCCCGAGCAGGCAGCCAGAGGTCTGTGGGGTGGGGATCCTTGGCTGAGTATCTCCCTCACTGTCCTACCACCTCCTGCACATGCCTTGCCTTTTCCGTTGCCATCCAGCTGGGAAACCAGGTGGACTCCAGCCCTGAAAACTCACAGTGCTGTCCTTGGTTGAGCCCTTAGCACCCACTGAAACCAAAGGTGCTCACACTCACAGGGAGAGGGTCTGCTGGGGCTCCCTGCCCGCCTTCCGGGGCTGCACCTGGACCTCTGGACAATGCCAGCTGCCAAAACGGGACCCCGGAGCTCACGTATGACTTTCGAGGCTCTCGAAGGACTCGGGCTCTTTAGTAAGTCACAGGATTAAAAAACTCAGGATGCTATTCTAGTGCTTCCTCTACTTAAAAATAGCTTCCCTGGACTCACTGATGTTTGTTGCCTCTAATAGGAACCGGTCACCCAAGGAGCACAGCAGTGCTGCTGTGGAACACATCCACCATGCAAACCCTTCTGAGACTGGGCTCACACCCCCAGATGCGCCTCAGGGACATGTGAGGGCCACCGACCCTGTTCTGCCCAATGTTATGGGGAACTCCCCCTGCCCACAGTGAGGATCCCAACCCTCTCTCAGTCATGCCAAAGCCTCGGAGGCGCCCTGGAATGACGAGCTGCACGGGCCAGCAGTGGCCATGGAAAGAAGTGGTTTTTAATTCATTTCCAAGTGTTGTCATCTGGCTTTAAATCAAGGCAGCTTGATGCTGCCACCTCCCACAAGTGTCTCCAGGCAAGGCAGCAAACAGAACCTCACCACGTGCCTCCCACCCTCCTTCTGGCAGTGCTAGTCCTGGGGATATGGCTCCCACAGACCCCGAGGGCTGACAGGCAGAGCGGGAAGCATGCCAGGTCCTGCCTACTGCATGCCAGTGTGAGGACATGCCCTTCCCATCACACAAGGGACACACCAATGTCTCCACACTGATGCTCTGCACCAGCCATGTGCTGGATGCCATCCCTGCTCTGCCTTCACCCAGAGAGGTGTTGGCACTCACCAGTGGCACAGGAAGAGCTACAGCCAGGGACAAGCTGGAGTCAACTCCAGCACGGTGCTGCTGCTGCCTCGCCATGAGGAGAGCAGGAGGTGGGGTGTCTCCACAGGGTTTTGGGGTGTGGGAGGAGACACTCACCCCTGGGAGGCACCAGATAGACCCTGCTCCCCCTGCTATGGGGAGACAGAGAAGAGCCCCATCAGCCAACGCAGAAACCAGAGAGCGGCACGTCCCTTGTGAGGTGGCCAAAGACGTCAATGGTCCCAAAGTTGCAGGAAGAGGTGGGTGAAACCACACAGTCTTCAATGAACTGCAACAGTCTCAAGTGAACAAGGGTTGCTGGCAGGAGGGGATCCCCACCTGCACCCCAATACAGATCCTGACTCTGTGACTTGCCCCAGCCCGTGCAGGTGACCTCAGGAGCGTGAGCAGGACTCTCACCTACCCCTGGGGCTGGGGGCGCGGGGGTGATGATGGGTAGGGCAGTACCCTCGTGTGTGGCATTTGCCCCGGCGGCTCTCGTGGGCTGTACCCGGCTGATTCCTGGCAGCCGCCAGCAACGCCTGTGCCGGCCGTCACGTCCCATTCCGCTCGCCGGGCCGCCCGGTGAGAGAAGGACACAGGATGCGCCGGGAGTGAAAGAGCGAGGTCGGCGGGGAGCGTGCCAAGTCCCCGCGCACAGCTCCGGGCCGCTCGGGGAGCCAGAGGGAAACTCGCCTTTGCAGAGTTCAGAGGCCGGCAGCGAGATTTATTTTTGTTTGTGTGAGTAAAAGGCTGCAGAAGCCTCTGGCCAAGGGGCTTGGGGGAGAGAGGAGTGGCCTGTGATTCATGCGGACGCTGGCTGGCCCCATGCCAGAGATGAAAGGGAGCCCATGTGTGGAGAACTGGGGAGGCGAGTTCTGCCTTAACCCTTCTGCTGGCCCGTGGGGCACAGTCCCATGGGGAGGAAGGGGAACATGGGGATGCAGATCGGGGTGCCTGTGTCTGGGGCCCGGCTTCTGTGCTGCTGCCAAAAACAGGCTGCCAGTCCCACTGTGCCTCAGTTTCCCTGATCCGAGGACAGGGAGATGCTGGCCTGTGTGTCCTGCTGGGAGGTGGAGTCTGGAGACAACCCTGGGGAGCGTGGGGCAGATGGAACAGTGGAGGTACAGCCTCACCCTGGCCAAGTGCTTTTGGACTGTTGGATTTTAGCCTTGGCTTATTTGAGTTAAAAACACTGCCTGGCTCGGTGGCAGGGTGACCCCACAGTGCTGGACGTGGCAGGGGACCTGCGAGGCTGGAAGCTTCGTGCTCTCTCCTTGGGCTGACAGCTCCCCCCCACCTCGCCTCCTGCACCCACACCCTGTGGCCTCAGCGATTCTCCCACCTGCAGCACCCTGCCCATCCTGCTGCTCCAGCCATGGGGGCTTCTCCCAGGAGCTGGGCTGGAGCCGGAGGTGGCTCCCTCGGCTGCCCCAGCTGGTGGCAGCACTGAGATCAGACACTCCTGCACACACAGTCCCAAATTCCCAGCTCATCCATCAGCTGGGATCACCTGGGGGATTCCCCGGAAGGCGGAAGGCGCTGCCTGGGAGAGGGCTTCCAGCATGGGCAGAGGGCAGGACCTCCAAAAGCCAGGCCACCAAGAGGAACTTCATGCAGAGAGAGAGGGGTTGACCCGTGGGTCTCTACCACTATCACAGAATAGGAGGGGATCTCCACATGGATCCCTGAGGCTCCACACACAGACCCCAGAGCTCCTCTACCCATAGTGCCAGGATGGTGGAAAGGCCTGGAGCCAAAGCTTGGCAGAGACAAGTGCCCTGCTGCCTTTGGGACAGGTCACATGGGGTCACGCTGCTCTGCCTGGACGTATGGGCCATCACCATCCTGACACCGCCTCTCCTGCCACGACCGGCTCTCCCACCGCGGGGAAACCCGGCGCCGCTGCCCCTTCCATCCCCTCGCGCTCCGCGGGGATCGGAGGCGGATTTTCCAGGGCCGAGAACAATGCCTCTCTAGCCTCCGCTCGAGGGCTTCCTCCTCCCAAGGCTCGTCCTCCAGCGTCTTCCTCAGGAGTAAACGTGCCCTGTGCCTGGTAGCTCACCGGGGCCGCCGCCGTGGCGGAGCCGCCGTGGGTGGGTGTGCGCCTTCCGCAGCCAGCAGGCACCCGCTCCCAGGCAGGTGCGTGTCGGCGCGTGTGCGCCCGCGGCATTGTTCCTGCGCGCCGAGGAGAGCGTGAATGGGACACGGCTATATTTAGCCACTTACTCACACTACCGCCACAAAGGAGCGGCTGCATCTTAAGGGGGCAGCCGTTCCGTGGGCTCAGAAGGGACAGGAGAGCGGCTATTTTGGGAAGACATGTCATAATTGGCCGCCCCGGTTAAGCTGCTTCTGTAATGCTGAGCAAAACAATAGCAGCATCCAGAGGAAGAGCCTGTTATGTTTCAGGTGGGATGTTTTCAACCGGTCAGGAAACTCGACCGCTCCCAGCGCACAGCGGCGGCACAAAGGACAGGGGACGCTGAACAGCATGGACCAAGGGCCTGGCCAAGCAGCAGGGGTGGCTGGGAGAGCAGGGCACGGCCTGGCGCGGGCTGGGGACAGCCCTGACTGAGAACGCTGCCTGCCCCAGCAGCGTTGCTGCCACCTCCTCTTGTGTACCTGCCTGCTCGGACTCTTCTCCTTCCAGATAACTGGGCAGCACCCAGGGATTTGGCTGGTCTTTCACCTTGTCCCAATGAATCTCTGCTGCTACCAGCTGTCACCAACTCTGTCCCAGTCCAGGCATGTTGTGAGGGCAGAGACAGGCTGGCAGTGGAGCAAGGGAGCAGCAGCCAACCCATCACCCAGGGCCAGGCAGCAAAGGGCTGCCCAGGGACACAAGAGATTTTACCCTGCTCTGGTCTGCCTTTCCCCCTCAGAGTAATGGTTTTGTGGACCAAGGTCATGTAGGGGAACAGAGCTGAGCTCTCCTGTTCTCTCTACAGCTGGTGCTGGCCAAGGGTCACCCTGTTTGTCATGTACCCTGCCTGGACCTGTGCTCCCCAGCAGCCTGAGCCACAGTCCCGCACACACCCAGAACGGACAGGGACTAAAGGAGCTCAGTGAAGTCCAAATTCCCCTTGAGGTGTGAATGTGACTCCAGCATGGAGGCTGCAATGAGAAGCCATAGGGCTGTCCTGCAGCAGCAGCGAACCTGGAACAGTGTCGGGTGTGTGATCTCCACCAGCAGCACAGCTGGGCTGCCAGAGGCGGGGAGCAGGGCAAAGGCAGGGACAGTGCAGGAAAACCTGCTGGGGAGAAGGCAGTGACTTTACCCATGAGAAGCACAACTCTGCAGGTCCCAGTTGAGACCCTGACACCACGCTCCCCTTGGGTACAGAAAGAAACCGGATGGCCAAGAGATGAAAGCTTTGCCCTGCACCCTGGGTCCCTGCACACACCATCACAGATTCTACAGAGGGCAGCCACAGCACTTGGATCCGAGCCCCCACTGCTATGCAGGCACAGTCACACAGCCCTGCGTGGGGAGCTGAGGCTCTCAAGTGTGCTGATACAGGAGCCACATCTGCTGGACTCGGATGTATCTGTGCTTGTCCCCAGGATAATGAAAGTGGGACTCGGAGAGCACCTGATGCTCCCTAGGTGGGCAGTGAATGAGAGGCTGTAACAGGGAAGGCAGAAGGTCCTCAAGTCTCATGAAACATAAAATCTCTTGGGAAGAGCAGAAAGGTCAAGGATCACAGGCTAAGAGGGAAAGTGGAGGGGGTGGATGCTGAGCTGGCTCCAACCTGGCCTCTGCCGGCAGCATTTTCCACCCGAGTTCCTCCACTCCTCGAGCTGCGTGGTCAGTACCAGGGCAGGGAGAGGACTGGGGCAAGCACGCATGTTCTGCTCTAGGCCATTCCCAGCCAGCTACGGACTGGATGACTTTACTGAAGCCCTAAGGACTTCTCCTCCGCCCCGCGCCGTCAGACTCCAACTGCACCTCAGCTCTCAGCTGTGCAGCCCCTGAAGCTGCCCACACCCTCATTTTGACCTCTCTCTGCCTGCGAGCATTGGCCCCAGCACGGCCGGGGAGGAAGGGAGGAGCACGCCGGGGGGAGAAAGCCCCTGACAACATCAGGCAGCCCCCACTCTCCCCGCAGAATGGGCAGCGGCCATCCCGGGGGGCCCTGCTGCAGCTGCGCTGGTCGCCGGGGCCGGGATCTGCTGCATGCTGCCCTCCCTGAACATGTGCAGTTCCTGTTTGCTGTGTCTGTACAAGGCAGTGGGAAGTGGGGAATTTACTTACACCTCCCGCTTAACAACCCTGGGAGGCTGGAAGGCTTCAGGCCGCTTTAATTTACAGCCCATCTCTCCAATCTCTCACTCGTTCGCTGCTGCTTTCTTCCTCCTTGTATTAACGTGACTCAGGTACCTGCCAACAATAATGGACTTGCTTGCGGGGGCGGGCCCCTCCCTCCCGGCACAACTTCTACCTTCGCCTTGATATGAATTGCTCCAAATTCAAATGAAAAAAAAAAAGAAAAAAAAGAAAAAAGGCAAAATCTGAAAAGGTTGGGGTGGGTTTGGAAAAGCGAAGCGCAGTGGTTCTGGGCCCGGCGCCAGTAGCCGGAGGGTACACATGTGCAGGCTCTCCCAGTAGGGCCTTCAGCAGCCCTGTTTTACAACCACCTCGGCACACACTGCAGAGTTCACGCATATGGCCAGACAGATGTGTCTGGCTTACGTTCAAGGCTGGAAAATGAAGAATTATGGAAGTGAAGGGCCCTGGGCATTAGAGAGGGCGGAGGTGAGGGGGAGGGGAGCCAGGGAGAATTTTTCCTCTGCTGAGAAATCTTCATCTGGGCTGCGAGGCTGGAGGAAGAGGGGTTGTGAGCAAGGAGGCAGCCAACAGCCATGCATGTGAGATTGCTCTTAAAGCAACAGGGTGCATTGCCAGGGGTCTGCTCCCAGTCCAACCAGTTTACTTCACCAGCTCCCACTGGGAAACACGCTCAGATCAGGCCAGGGCCGGGCCAGGATCACCTGTATCCCTTCTGTTTGTCCCCATTACGATGGCAACGTTCTGGCTGCAGCAGCCGTTCGCAGACTATTTTTCCGCCGCTGGCTCCTGCATGAACTCTGCCGTTCTCGTCCCACCCTCTCCCTGTCTGCCTGTGCCCCGCTACACAGGAAAGCTGATTTCTCACTGAACCGTGGAGCCTCTGCCCTGGGTGGGGGGACAGCTCACTGCCTGGCACACACAGCACTACAGCTCTGCCAGAGCTCCTGGGTGTGTTGACAGCTCTGTAGGGAAGCTATGTCTGCCTTCAAGGGGGTCCCAGGAGTCCCCAGAACATTCACCTCAGGGGCTGAGACAGCAGATCTTACCCAAGGTGGGGACAGCAACCCCGATGGCCCTTCCAGAGGGCCAAAGCTGATCTTGCTGCTGGGTTTCACAGAGACAGCACAGGGCACCTACACTCAGGGAGGTCAAGGTGCTATGGGACATCCCAAGAGGCTGCTGAAGCATGGCAGGATAACGGTTGTGCACCATCAGCACAGCGAGGTGGGATCAGCCCATCATACCTGAATCTTGTCTTGACGGCGCTGCTGCTCAGCAACTTTCCTGGCCAGGGCTTGCTTTTTGGCTCTGAGCTCCTTGATGTCCATCTCTCCTCCACTGCCTTCAGTCTCCGAATCATCTTCAAATGCCTCAATCCTCACATCATCCTCCTTCTTCCAGGAAATGCAGAAAGAGAGCAAAACAGGAGAGAAATCATTGTAAGGGATGCTGGTGACACGGATCATTCTCGTTTTGCTCTCATTCTTCCAGCAGACAAATCCCTGTCAGGCATGGTCCATCACCCCTTGCTGATGAGTGACTGACTATTTCTAAACATCCAAAAGAAGCCAATTAATAGTAAACATCCAGGAAATGACAAGGTGAGACAGGAGGTAACGGGGCAGGAAAGGCAGCGACCAGGCAGGGCAGGGGCAGCCTGGCTTTAACACTCTGTTCTAAAAATCACACCCTCTTCCTCACCTTGGAAAACTCTTCCCACAGCCTTGGGTGAGTCACTGATGTTTTACAGCCTTCAATGCTGTGAAACCATGGTATTTCCCTGTCTCTCTGCTTTGCCTGGCTGTTTGGATGACACATCCCTTGGAGCAAATGCTGCTCTATGAGGCTGTACGAGGCTGCTCTAATCCTGCTACCTCATCCCAGGCTGGGAACACAGGGTGGTCATCTTGACAGGAAACTCAGATACATGAACCCAGGAGAGAAAAGAGCCTCTTGCCCTTCTCTGTTTTCATTTCGGTACAAGTCAGAGAGATGACTGCACCCACCACAGAACTTCTATCTGACTTGGAACAGATGTTTCAGAAGGAGACACTTGACTTTAAGTTTGATATGAACTCAAGGTTCTCCAACCTCCTGCCCACATAAGCACTTCTCGACCATGTTGCATCTTCTCCCTCTCCTAGAGACCCTTCTCTGGGGCTTTCCACCAGGAGTTCTGCAGGCCCTTCCCAGGACGCCTACACTGTCTAAACTGAAGACCCCAGAAAGAGCCACGCTGTTCCCTCTCCAGGTGAAGGACACACTGGCCTTTCCCCATGTACCCAAATCTCTGGGACACAGGAAGGTGGGAGGTGGTGGCCGGTGTCTAACTGGGGATCAGCCACAACCAAGTTCGGCTGCAGCTTTGTTGCTCTCCCCAGTGACTTCAGGTCTGAAGGGGAGCCCACAAGTCCCTGTTCCTCAACACGTGTCCCACACGTGCTGCCCAGGAGCCCAACTCTGCCACTCCTGCTGACAGCCACCCCTTGTCTCACCCAGGCCCCCTTGCTGCCCACTGCAGTGACCACAGTCCTTCCCAAGCCCTGCCACTGCCCATCTCCTCTTCCCTGCCCAAAATCCAAGGGTTGTGATGGGGCTGGGAAGAGTTCCCAAGTAGCACCTGGGCAGAAAGACCTGCTCTGAGTCCCTAGAGGGCTGCAGGGAGGGGACAGACCCTGCACAGAGGGATAAGAGCATGGCTACACTCCTTGCCCTGTGCAGGCTGCCATGACATGTGGCAGCAGGAGGGACCTGTGGTCTTAATTTAGAACAACCCCAGCACTGCACAGTCGCGCACTCAATCATTTCACCAGGACCGCACACCCGCCTGGCCACAGAACCACCTACTCTTCTCTCCCTGTGACTTTTTAGGCATGGGAAGGAGGAAGACGGAGCCCTCAGGCTCACTTCCCTCTGCTGGGACAGCCTGGACGACAGGGGATGGGGGGATGCTGCCAGAGGGAGAGCATCGGGGAAGGGCCTCGGGGAAAAGTGTCTGCCAGATCTGCTGCGGTGGGTCGGGACCCGCTTGCCCAGTGTGGGGTGGTCACGCTGGAGAGCTGGAAGCTCCCTTGAGATCAGAGCCAAAGGAGGAAGCTCCAGGGTTGCACAATGAGCTCAGGAAGAGGTTCCCACAGCTGAGAAGAGTCTGTGGGGACAGGGCAGGAGTGAGCTACCCTCATGCTGTGCTTGTTCACAGCAGGAATTGGAGGGACTGACCCGAGAACAGGACCATCCCTGTCATGACACTGGGTAGAACCTGAAGATTCTCCCATATCCCATAAGTCAGCTTGAAAACCTCCAGCACCTTCTCCAGAAGAGAACAAAGGTCCAGGTCTCTCATCTTTACAGAGACATCTCTTGCTGTCTGGGGATTTGCTCTGACCCTCAGTGCAAAAACAAATCACCTAAAATCTGTCCCTGCTCGGCTGGAGCTGGATGATGGGACAAAGAGGGTGCTGAGCACAATCTTGCTCTGGGCTCCTCCAGCTGTCAGCTCCCTGGGGCACACAGAGCCATGGGACACAGACAAGGTGCTGTCCCCATAGGGGGTGATACCCCTCTGGCTCTGAGTGCCTGGTCTCGGCACAGGGAGGGGAGCCAGAGTGAGCCTGGGCAGCGCGGGCCACCCAGCTTCCCGTTCCCAACGCCTCTGCCCCTCTCTCCTGTTTCCCTGGCCTTTCCAACTGCAAGATAAAACAGAAGAAAAGAGTCAACCTGCAGAGCGGCTGGCAGGGCCCTTAAACACACACACGGAGCCTGGAGTGAAGCAAGGCCTACAGGAACAAGCAAGGGCAGAAAAACAAGAGCTGAATTCCTTAATCACATCAGGATGTGAGAGGCAGGGGAGGGACGGGGCGCCAATGTCAGCTCTTCCTGTACGTGTGCTGGAGGCTGGAGCTCAGGCCTCCGCTGCAACGAGCTCCACGGCTATAAACTTGATCCTGAAGCTGAACCCTGACACCCCCTCGCCCACCTCCTCTCCCGGGGCCTCGGTGCTGCACGTTATTAAAGCTCCCCCCCGCTCTGGGTATGAAAAAGCAGCATCTGGAACTCATAGCAGAGTGCTAGATAGAGGCAGGCGGGCTGGACTGGCAGGAAAGGGCACGAGTGAAGCACACTCGGGAGACAAGAGCTGTGCACCATTTGCCCCCCCGCCTCCCCCCATAAAATGCACACACAGCTACGCCAGCTATAAATAGCGGGAGCTGCAGGGCAGGCACAGGCTGGGCCCCACAGGGGTGATTCTTCCTTCACCGAGGCGCGCTCTTCCCGCACGGTACCTGATCTTCCAGTTGTTTTCCCTCTTGGCTTCCCATTTCCTTTCCCATGGCGTCTGGGACGGGTGCCACTGACACATATTTTCCACCCTTGAATGCCAGCAAAGGCTCTTCTTGTCCACAAAGGGCTTCCAGGAAATACTTCAGAACTGTGACCCTCTTGCAGTCGGCTGCAATAACCTACGGGGTGAGGACGAGGGGGTTGGGGAGAGGGAAAGGAAAACAAAGTCAGTGCAAAGGGGAGTGGATGAGTAACGACCAGGGGGAAATGTTCGGGGATAGAAGGCCCAGTGGGATGGAGGCAGCACCGCAGGGATGTGCGGGGTGCCCCTCTTCTAAACAGGGATGGAAGGGGTTTGCTTTGCCTTGCAGCCCACTGTCCCCAGGGAAAGGGAGGCAGGCAAAGTGAGGACACCCAGCACCAATCCGTATTCTGTCCTGCCTCCTCTGTGCACCCCAGGGCTGCAGGACTGCGACTGCCAGGGGACAGCCAGTCCCCTGCTCACTCCAAATGGGGAAAGAACTGCTGAACCATGAGAGATCAATGATGTGGCTTGTCCCTACTTTTCGTTTTGGCTCCATTGCCAGATTCCCCCCAAAAAGCTGGGGAGGGATGCAGGTGTGAGAACGGGTGGGTGAGGGCATTTAAGAAAAGCTTCTTGCCTCCAGCCCGACCCCATCCCATGGGCCCATCTCACAGACCCACTGGGGAGCCCCGTCAGGGAGGCTGGGACGGATCTGGCCAGAAGGAAACTCAATAGCTTGGGTAATTATCCAATTTATGAGGCTCTCAAATGGAGTTTCCAGAGCATGGGAGCCTGGTGCCTCCACAGCCCCATCCCGCGCGGCACAGCCTCTGCCGGCACCTCCGTCAGGGCTGGCCTCGGCTCAGCCTTTGTCCCCTTGCAGCAGGGCTCTGCACCTGCACAGCTCTCCCCTGGTGCTTCCTGCTGACTGGTGTCACCCCCAGGAGCTGCAGATTTATAGGGAGAAAGTCAGCAAACAGGACTAAAAGTGCTACACGCTACAGACACGAAGTCCAGATTGACACCCAAGCTTCTCCTGCCCCGCACAAACCACCCTGGTGTTGCTCTGCTCGTACAGAGCCTCACAGACCCCTGTCCCAAAAGGGTCCCTGCAGGCTCCCACAACCGGGATTCTGAAGCTGGGGAGAGGGTCAGACCCCATACAGGTGACTCAACCAGGTGCCTCACACTCAGAGACACACACGGTGCGATGCCAATGCCACACACCCCGGTGTCACCGCACACCGGCTCGTCACCATGCTGTGCCCTGGAGGGGTTGTGCCACGGTGAGCAAGGGCTGGCAGCGGCATCAGCCCAGCCACACCAAGCTGCTGTGAGAGGAAACTTCTGCTCTTCCACAGAGCTGCCAGTTTCCTCTCTGCGGGCTAATTTTAACCACCGTGTCGCTGTAGTGCGTGTCAAAAACCTGACCCTCCTCTGACCTCCAACCTCCCACCCCAGCTACTGCCAGAGCAAAGCACCCTCGTGGGCCCGCAGCTGGGGTTGCCTCCATTTGATCCCCCCTGGGATCCCGTGTCCCCCCTGTACCTAGACAGACAGGCAGAGGGGGAAGAGAATCCCCTTCCTCTCTGTGGAGGCAGTTGCTGCTGCAGAAAGGTAGTATGAGCAGGCTTATCACAAGAGTTAATATTTAGGGGAGCAAAGGACCCATAATCATTGATTCTGCTCCTAAAAAATGTGTCCTGTGGGACCAAGGTGAGCAAGAACAAAGTGACACAGGTCCAGCAGCCCTGGAAGCAGTTTGGGCTGCTGGGGACCATCTGTCCCAGGACAGCTCTTTACTGCTTGTGACATCCAGCCAGGAGCAACCCCTGCAAGTGTCACCACAGGAACATTCCCATCCTCCTGGCTCTCCTTCAGGAACGATTGCGTGCAGAGGAAAGTCAAAAGGAAAGAGAACAAGAGCAAAATGGGAATGCCTGTCATGGGAAACAACATGAGAGCTCTGGGCTGCAGCAGCCCCGAGGGAAGTGGTGGAAACCTCACCACCAGTTTCACCCCCAGTCAACGGGCTAATGCCATGGAGGCCCAGCCTGACTCACATGGGGTGACTTCAGCCCAGGGATTTTCCAATGTAGGTACCTGCAGTTCCCTTGTGCCCAGGTTGCTGGGTGAGCAGAGTGCCCACCACCACCAGCCACGTGCTGTGGGGTGCCAGGATGTGGCCAACAGCAGCAGCACTGGGGAAAGGGATGCAGGAACTGCCTGTCTAGGTGTGGAAGAGATAGGTGCCCTATCCTGACACCATTCCTGAGGGATTTCTCAGGACACCTTTAGAAATAAAAGCCATTGCATCCAGTGTAGGACCCATCAGGTTTTCAGGAGGGGCTGGGTGCTGACACAGCTGCAGCGCAGCCATCACTGCACAGCAAAGGCTTAAATCTGAGCCTCCTGGATTGGGAATGACCAGGCATAGTGCAGAAGAGCTCCCTTCACCCATGGCTGGGGCTTGGGACAAGGGCAGGTGGGATCACTCCTTCCTCCCCCGAAGAAGAAACCAGTAGGAAACACCAGATTTCCTGCCAAGCCAGCACAGCACATGCTTAAATCCAGCTCATCTGCTGGGGAGAACAGAGCCCAAATGAAGGCCCATGACATAATGCCACAGCAACTCGTCTCATGAACACATTTTTCCAGCCCACATGAATGAAAAACAGGGAAGGAGCAAATGCTCTGCACATCCCTGTCACGTGCAGCCCAGCTCGAGGAGCAGCCCGGGGCTGTCGGCAGCCAGGCTGGCCCCGCCGTGGGGCAGCCCAGCCTTGGCAGTGCTGGGAAAGAAGTGACCTGTGACTGGCACCCAGGTCTCTCTCGAACGGCAGAGCAGGACCTTGCGTGTTGCAGAGCAACCCGCTTTTGTCAGAAACTTCCTGTTTCGGAGTGGAAACCTGAGTGCCCGTGGCAGCTCTGGGATAACTGGGGCAGTGGGGATGGCTGTGAAGGCGCTCACCAGCTCACGTGAAGATTCCAGTGGAGCATGGTAAGGACACCAGGAGCTGTGCCCACCCTTCCCGAAGGAATGGGAGTACAAAATGACATGGTGTCAGTGCATTTGGTGATGTGGCAGCAGACACCCCGGCCCCAGCGGGGAATACAGCCCTTCCCCCTCCGACCGTGCAGTGTGACAGCAGGAACCGAAAGCCTGGCTTCAAGTCATTGCTGGGTATGAAAATAGGCCTGACACGCACACAGCCGCTCTCAAAGGAAAACCGAAACCGAGAATTGCTGAAGTGGTCTGGTGCCCCCGTCCCTGACCTGGGCTCAGTTCCCCAGAGGCATCGCAGAGCCCTTCGCCACCGCGGTGCCTCTCGGGGACACGTGGCTGGGGACCAGGCGTGGGACCGAGGTGGCTTCGGCTGCAGCAGCCCCGATTGCCAGCCTGATCTCATCAGGGCTGGAGGGGAGAGGTTTCCAATCTCCTTCTCCATCAGACGGGTTCACCACCAGCTCCAGCACCAGCCACCCACTGGGGGCTGGCGGCTGCTCGGCCACACTGACGAGGCTCATTAGCCAACTGCTAATTCATGGGTCACATATTAACATACTGATCATTGAGTAAGACACAGCAGGACACACATTAACACACACTAACTGCCTGTAGAGACCCACTGGGCTGCACATTAACTGTACCAGCTGTTGGGTCTTCAAAGCCACTCTGCAGTGCCAGTGTCACCTCCTGCCAGCAGTGAGTGGCGTTCCCCAGTCTAATGAGGGATCCCCAGATCTAATGAAGCTGATCCCCTCTATGGTCTTGGCTATTTCCCCCTGCAGATAAAACAGGCAGAAGGGAAAAGCTTCCCTCAGTGCTGTGGAAGGCAGAGAACTCCTGCACCTGGCCTGAAGGAGATGCAGCCCCGACATCACCACGTGTCCTCCAGGAGATTTAGGGGGAGGGAAGGGCCTTGCTCGGAGAGCTGTGAGCAATGTGCCCGAGGGGACACCTGCACCTGGTGCTGGCAGGGTGACACCACCAGAAACCAGCCACGGTCTCGCTTTGGGTCAGAGACGTGCCTGGAGCCGGGGGGGCAGCGGCTGTGCCCCCGCCCCGGCCCCGCTGCTCCACACACGGCTCTCCCGCAGCTCAGCAAATCGCTGTCACACCCTCCGCCGCCTTCAATCAACTTTTACAACTTGTTAATTTTACGCAGCGTCCTAAAGAGCAAATAACTGGAAGGCAGGAATGCAGACTCCTTCAGCTAGTCCAAAGAGCCTGCGGCAGCCAAGCCAGCTGGCCAGGGGAGCCTTGCTCAGCCGCAGGGACCTGCCACATCCCGGGGGGAACTTGGTCCGGAGGGGGCTGCCCCACTCCCACGGCAGCCTCTGGCAATGCCACGCTGCTGCCAGTGGTGTGTGGAGGGACCCTGGCAGCTTCTCCCTGAACAAAACCTTAGACTCCACAAGGAAACAGGAGGCAGTGGCTTTGGAGAAGGGATTGCTTGGAGGACAGGCTGCCATTGCCGGCTCTGCATTCCTATGTGCGAGGGGGAGACACCAGTACATCCTGACAGCTGGATTCAAAAGGGGAAAAGGACATGAGAAGTTTGAGTCATAGCGTGGAGAGATCCCATCCCAGATTCGGAGATGGGAACGGGATAGGACCGGGACTCAGAGCCAAGCTCCAGCACGATCCAGCATGGGGATAACACTGTTTTTGCCACATCAGTTTAAATATGGCTTAGCTGAAGTAGCTGAACGATGCTGAAACTAAGTGAGCCCCAAACAATCTAAACCACGCAGCGACTACATGGCCCAGCTGAAACATTTGCACTGACCCTGCTAAAACAGCCAGGCAAGGCAGGCCATGGCTCAAAGCCTCCCTGTGCCCTGTGCTGCCTCCTCCCATCCCTGGGGATCCAGCTTGGAGGAGGAGCACAGAGGAAAGAGCCTGGTTTGGTCTCATCCCTTCTGGGTTTTCATCTCGCAGGCTCGCACAGAAGCTGGGCTGGGTTTAACCCTGGACTCATCACAGCCCAACTTCTCTGGGCTCGTTCTCCAGCCAGGGTGTGACCTGAGGATCTCCTTGCTCTGCCCAGCACCAAATACAGATTGAAGGGGTTTGGCCACCTGGGTAGGGAGGACAGAGGTTGGGCAGCAGTGCTCACAGCTGGATGCGACCCTGGTTTCGACAGCTGAGAGCTGCCTGCAGCCGCAGGTCTCTCAGAGAAACTTCTAATTTTGACTAATCCCATAACCAGGTTCGGTGGATGCGGCTCCCACATGGCTGCAACTCTGTGTGTGACCCGAGAGAGCAACTGTGGCTGCAACAGGGCCCAAATCAAGGCACCACTGGCTCCAACGGATCTCGCTGCTGCCCTGGCTTTGTAGGACCTTGTGCCGGCATGGGCAGTGCCTGGCACCAAACAGAGAGCACAGCTGGGGAAAGGATCCACCACATCCATGCCTGAAGCTCCATCACAGCAGAGATGAGCATGAGAAAACACCCAGGGAAGACAGATAAGCCCAGAAGAATCACTCCAATTGCTCTTCCCCATGGCCTCTGCTGGAGGACCACTCTCTCTGCTTTGCAGGGGCTCCCCAAAGAGAAGGTGTGGCCATGTCTTACCCAAAACCTCTCTCCCAGCATTCTGAGCCTTGCAGAGGCACAGCTCCAGCCTCTGCACTGGGGCAACATGGTCTCAGACGAGTCATCGGAGCAGATGTGCTTTTTGGCCTGGCAAACCCTCTGTCTTTCCAACCTTGGCCACATAGCTCAGCCACAACTGGCCTTTAAGGCTGGAAAGCAGCATGGAAAGGGAGACAACTACCCACCATAATCAAGGTTTGCCGGGCTAAGACCAGCCTTGTTTATCCAGTGCAGAGATGTAGAGAAGACACATGGGTGATATAAAGGTGCCAGTTCTCTTTCCCTGACTGGCAGCCAGTGGCTGTGGAGCAGGAATACAGACCAAATGTTTACTGATTTAGGTCAGAAGACACTTGAAACTTTGTATGGAAACCCTACACCGTCACAGGTCCCAGTCTATGTCCCTGAAACCCTTTGTGCTGTGGCACAGCCTGGCACTGTCCAAGAGAACATCTCACAGTTGCTCTCAAGTCTTCCCTTCCTTGGTGATGGCTCATCATGGGGTTGAGGAAAGCTGTTTTTCCACCTCCAAATACATCTGAAGATGCAGCAGGAACCTTTCATGACTTTTGTGGAAGAGTCAACACTAAAGCCACCTGAAGCAGATGCTCTGGATGGAAAACCATCCTCTATATCCCTCTTGAGTTCCTGAGCCCAGGATGGCCTGGAGGGTTGATACAGCTGAAACAACCCAGAACAGCCCAGGTTGATACAGCCCAGAACCAACTGCTTCCCTGGGGCTACACATCCCAGAGGGGAAAGTTCCTGATGGATTGCAAACGAAGCTTTTGGCTTTCACTGATGCTTGGAAAGAGTTGCCCTAATATCTTATTCACCTGTTAAATGTGCTAAAGAACCTCTTTGTCAGATCCAGGGAGCAGCAGCATTTGCAGCAGGGAGCAGTTGGCTCCAGGCTTCATTCAACACCTCGTACACAGGAGATGGGTCATCAGCTTAGTTAATTTTATTCTCACCAGCCCATTCCCACTGGGCAGCAGCAAAACAAGAGGAAAGCATGACTTTAGCCTGGATGAGAAGTCCCAGGGAAGATGATGGGGTACAGGAGATGCCCACTGAGTGATGGAGATGTTTCATGTGGCTTGTGAGTGTGGCTCCTGCCTGGTTCTCCTTGTGTAACTGCCTCCAGCAAGACACTAAAGGAATTTCTGCCGGAATTTTCACTGGAGAAAGCATTTGCTTCCACCCCCCATGGCCACATGCCCCAGTGTTGATCCCCACAGCAGTGATATATCCAGGGCATTTCTGCTATCTGAGGTGAAGCCTTGAGCACAGGACCACACATTTCAATTGTCTGTTGTGTGAAGAAGGGGCTAAAAAAATCACAGCTTTGAAAGAGGCTGTGAAAGAGGCAGATGACTCCCAGACAAACTGAATCACACACAGGGACTCCCTCCTCTCTCCCATCGCAGCTACCAGCACATCCCTAATCTTCTCAGGGGAAACAAAGAGAAAAAAATCAAGCCACAGAGTAAAGCCAAGACAAGTCCAGAGGAGCCCGCTCTGCTCCTCCCTTGCAGATCCTACTGGAATCCTAACCTGGGAAGACAAATCCTCAAAATCCTGCCCCAAGCCCGTGGTCCCAGGCTGGGGAAGGAGGAAGGCAAGATCCGTATCCTCAGCAAAGCCAACATGGCACCACCGACAGCTTTCGCAGGGCATGGGCTGTTCTCCCCGCTGCGGGAGTCTCCAGGCTTTTCCTTTTCAGGGACTGGGGGAATTTATTTCCTCTGCCATTTCGGAGGATGCCTGCCTTGCCAGAGATTGTTTTGCAGAGTTCAGACAGATAAGAAAGTGGTTAGCAGGCTCTTCAGTGGAGGAAGGGAGGATTGCTTAGTAAGGGAAAGGGGACTGCTCTGCTCTCAGCAACCACACGCTGCCCTTCCTCTGAGGCCACCGCTCTGGGGGATGCTGGTGCTGGGGACAGGGACAGGCCATCCCAACACCTCTGCACCCCCGGGTGTTTTTCGGGTACATCTGCTCGTGGGGCCACACTGGTGACTAGAGATGCTGTTCCTGTTCCAGGACTGGGATCTGTGTCTTGTGGAATTCGGGAAATGCGGCTGATGAATGTTCAATCCGACATCTCCGTGCGCTCTTGCAACAGCGAGAGCCCTTTCTGCAGGGTACATGGAAAAAAGAAGGGCAGGAGCCAAGTCCAGGCTGCTCGAGCTTGTGGGGACAGTGCTGTGGTTATCTCACACTCTCCCCATTCCAGAATGTGCCTCCCAGAATGACTGGCAGCAGGAGGGACCTGGCATCTCTGTGGGGCTCAGAGGAGGAAGTCTGAAGATGCACAATTCCTGCTAAAAACGTCCATCTCCAGCACACCAGCAGTGCTCCGTGGAGGTTCAGCTCAGCTCCTCCAGACCCTACACCCACCCCACATCGAGGTGTTGTGCCCTGTAGCAGCGTAGAGCCCTCACCGACAGCTCTCACTGACAGCACAAGCTCTTTCCCAAGGACTTCCCCATGGAGACAACTAGAAACTGCCTCGTGATTTGACCCACAGAGTAACTTGGTGATTCCTGTCCCACAGGACCAGCCACCGATGTCTGGGGTAGCAGAGTGCTAAGACGTTGTGGGCTGGAAGGAAAAGTGTGACAACACAGGAATGGGGGAGCAGGATGAGAATCTACAATAAAAAAAATAGCAAAAAAAGGTTCAAACCAGAGCTCACCCTGACAGCCTCCACCTGCCCTGCCCACAACACCCACCTCTCAACCTTCCAGTGTCACCTCTGCTTCAGGCAGAGAGGAAACCACAGTGAGAGCCTGTAACACCCATAGCATGGTGGAATTCCACCCTTGGAGGTGTTAACAGGTTGCCCGTCCCTCACAAACCTGACTCCTGACCTCAGCAGTGTGAGGGAGGAGAGGTAAGAGCTGGAATATTCTGCCTGGTGCTGGCAG